CCMWYYTTTTCTCCCCAAAATTAGATTCTAAACTTGGTACAATATATCAAAATCCAACCAAAATATACTTTTAACAAACTTAACACTCACATAAATAGAATTATGTAAACTAAACTTCATATGTTTGAAAATAAGATTTAAGTTAATTCTACGATTTATAGTTAAATTGGATGAGATTAAAAAATTTAAAGTTAAATTTGACTAGCTTAACTTGGAAGAAAGTTTTCTGTGTCTTCAAAGTGATTAAATAGTGTTTTAAAGAAGATTCATAGATCGTAGGATTTCAAGTTAGATAGAGACCGACTTTATGGGTAATCTTATGTGTTGCATAACAATTTCCCAATTCAATGAGATGATAGCGACATGGAAAAGTCTTTCTTAAAAATTACAAAATAAAGAGACTTCAAACGTCTAAGAATAGATGATGTAAGAAACTGTTAAAATAATGGTACCTCCTTCAAGTACCGTGAGTATCACCACAATATGGTATGATATTGTCCGTTTTGSGATAACGTTCACGTATGAYKTTGTTTTTKGTTTCATCCAAAATGTCTTATACTCCTCATCTTTATACTATGGATGATGCTCTTCTCTAACAAATGTCGAACTTTGTTTGCATTCTCCTTACAAATCCAACGTAAACACTAAAAACAAGAAAAATGATACCACAGTAAATATCAAATTGTTACCATTTCACCCGAATTCATTGTGACATTTGAGAATTTACTTGGATTTAAGATGAGAGGAAAAAAAATACTGAATTGAAGAAATACCAAAAATGCTCGTACAGATAGGAGAGAAAGAAAATCGCTATAATCAAATTGATATAAGAATGTTGTCAACGTAATGGATACTATTTTTAACTAAAAAAAATCATTAAAACAAGAGAATTTACTTTGATAGTTAAAAGTTGATATAATAAACATAATTATAATCATACTTTTTGAGCGTAGTTAGTACTTAATTAAATAAATACCAATTATTAGCATCTAATCTTATCGTTTTACAAGTCAAGCCACCTCTCAATTGTTTTGTTTTTTGTTTTTGTATGGCTTAAACATGTGGATATTTGGTTTCTTATCCTTTTTGGAGGATAATATATTGATTAGTAGGTGAGGTATCTCCTTCCAATTATTTCTTCATTTTTAATTCGACTTGAAATTAATAATTACACAAAAAGGGATAAAGACAATTAATTGGTAAGATACTTAATCAAGAAATTAATTACTCAAGATTAATGTGTCAAATATTTAGGTAACCACACCAAACTTGTATCATGCAAAATTAAAATTGTATGGTTTTAACATTGAATTTTCATTAGTATTTAGATCTCTTAGTTTATCCATCATTAATTTAAGTCATATTTGACTTACTCTTGTTAATATATTGATTGATCAATATATAAATATATAAATTAAAACTAATAATGAAACTTTGAGTGTCGGTTTGTAGAAAGAAAAGTCTAGGTCCTCTCTTATCCAATTGTTTCATAATAATCTAATATCATAATGGAAAAACATATTATTATTAAAGCATATATTATTGCACCCTCAAACTATATAATAATAATAATGATGAATTATTAAACCCTCCAACAAGCCATTAAACTCGTCCTAATTCATCACATACTCGGTATGTAATTCAGTCTATCACACCAATATTTAGTACTTCTCATTTTGTAGTACTTTCCAAAATTGGTCCAATCAACTTTGACAAAAATTTTCCAACAAATACTCTATCAAATTTCAAAATATTTATCATTAATAAAACGTTGGTTGCTAATTATTTTTCAATATATATTTTATTTGATACGAAATCCCAAAATATTTATCGAGGCAAAACTCTCTCTTTCATTGATATATAAAGCAAAATATAAAATAAGAAAAAAAAATTGGCAATTGATGAATTGATTTCTTACTTTGTACACTTTAAAAGGTCATCTAATGTTTATTTAATTAAAATTTCCATTTTAGTTAGAATGTCACTAGACACACCGACACTTTTATTTATTATTATTATTATTATTATTATTATTTTGGTGTTTGAGAATTAGCAAAAATGTTGAATATTGAAATTCATTAATTCTTTTCTACAAAATTAAACAATCAATGGTATTTCATTCGGTAAGCAACTTGATGAAATTTATGATTCATAATTTAGTGAACTCTTCAACTAATGAAAGCCCACCTCAAATGTTCTGTCTACCAACCTCATCATGCATATTCTTCTTCTTCCTACCCTAACTCACCCAATTTTCACTTTTTAAATTACCATTTCAATTTTTCAATTTCATTTTCAAATTTCAAGGGTTTTTCTTGAGTCTGAAATTACAAGTCTCTCCTTATTTTCTAACCAAGATAGAAGCACCAAAAAGGAAAGTGATTTCTTCAATTTGAAGGCATGAGGGAGTACCCCCCATGATTGAAATCTATATTTTATTTGTAGGAAGAACAACAAAAAATGGAAATTTGTGTCCTTTTTTCTTATTTTGTTTATAAGCTTGTTTGGCTTTAATAACAACCCCCTAATAAATATTTAAGAAAAWGAGGGGTTTGGAGATTACAAAGAAGAGCCAGTTCAATATTGTAATTCTTTGGTAAAAACAATACCTGAACAACTCAATCTTTTCAATTTTTGTTATATTATTTAGTAGTTGAGCTATCCATTTAACCAAATTTTGTAAATCAGTATCAAACGCTTGGAGAAGACAATACTCTCCAACACCAACCAAAAAGAAAAAGAAAAAGAAGAAAAAAAAAAGCTTTCCCAGCTCCTCTAATATATACAGCCTTCTCAACACACAAAACAAGGGAAGATCCCCATTWCATTCAGATTTTACCCTTTTCAACACAGAAACTCAAGAATTGAATTGAAATGGGGAAGACAAGCAACATCATCAGAACATCAATCTTCAGTTTCCTGCAGAGATATCAGTACTTCACCTCTATCTCAGCATTCTTTGCATTCCCCTTCTCAGCTTCCCTTCTTCTCTCACAGACTTTTGTTTTCACTTCTTCCATTTCTCTTCTTCCAAACATATACCATCGCTTGAACATTCTTTTTGATGCTGCAGGAGTCCCTCCTTCCTTGGAATTCTTCTCCATTTTCACTCAGAAGCTTTCCCAAACAATGTTTTCTTCCATCTTCACTCTTCCCTTAACTCTTACCTTCCTGCTTGTTGCAAAAGCCTCTGTACTTCAAGCTTTCAAGGACTCCAAACCAGGCTCCCACCCCTCATTCTCCTCTATCAGATCCCTTTACAACCCACTTCTCCTCACCCACATTTGCAACTCACTCCTCATACTCTCAGCAAATGCAACAGTTTTTTCCATCCTTTTCTTTGCTTTCAATTGCCTTGAAGGATTTGGGTTTTCTTCTTCCACCAGCTTTCTCTTGCTCTCATCAGCTGGAGCTGTCCTGTATTCCGTAGTTCTTGCAAATACCATGGTTATCTGCAACCTAGCATTGGTTTTATCAGGCATGGAAAAGCTTGGAGGTTACCTGGCAATACTAAAGGCTTGTGTCCTGATAAGAGGAAGAACTTCCACAGCATTACTTCTGGCTCTGCCTACGAACCTGGCCATGGCTGCAATTGAAGCCTTGTTCCAGTACCGAGTCGTGAGAGCTTATCTTCTTGTTGGAAGGCCAAGTTTTTCCATGCTTTCAGAAGGGATTATCATTGCATATCTGTACTCCATCTTCGTCGTCCTCGACACGACAGTGAGCTGTCTGTTCTTCAAGAGCTGTAAGACAGTTTACTGGGTGGATCTGGAAGGAAGACAAGTTCATCAAATAGACTTTGCAGAAGTAGACAATGGTGCTTGTGTCGTCGATTCAAAGGTTTTACAGGATCAGCATTTGACAATACGTGGATAATCCACACAACACGATCATCTGCAGGAAAAGTACATAGAATTCAATTGAAGAACAATAACAAGAACTTGTGGAATTCATTTCCGTTTGTTGAAAGAAACCAAGCAATTTTTTCTTTTTCAAACAGATCAGCACCCACAGTGGAAACAAAGATCCAGGAGCAGAAACCATGTGAAAAATTTGTAACTGTTCCTAGAGTTCTCTCTCTGTTTTAATTTCATCCATCGTCTTTTATTTATTTCTGTTCGCATTGTAGATAAACCGACAGTTACATTTTGGTAGGATACATACAGACCTCCATTTGTCAGCTTTCTTGAGAAATAAAATTCAATAGCTTGCTTCAAAATCTTCAAAAACTTCTCTGACTCATCCCTCCAGATACAAATMTCTGCTCTGCCCACTTAAAGTTTGGGCATTTTGATGCCACCACAATCCTTGTTGCAAGCAATAGTTGACGAACCCAGATGGAAAATGCATTCAGAACGAAGCCTTGATCTGGTCTAAGCATTCGCTTGGTAGAATCGTCGACAATTTTCTTAGAATCATCGGGACGAGGGGTGATGCCAGCAAGATTTGAGCTGCGAACGTAGATGGAAGGTATTGATTTCTGCGTGTTCGCTACTCCTGCTTACAATCATGGATAAAAGGACTCCAATTCTAAGAAAAGCAGGAGAGAGATGCATCAACAAAGTGAGGGTACCGATATCCAGAAATTATAGTGGTAGAAAAGAGGGTCGCTGAGAATACAAGAAAGGAAAATGGCTCCAGTTTGCCACAAACAGCTCTCATGGCTCGTACGACTACAAGGTAAAAGAAACAAAATAAATATTAAAAAAATAAATTGTATATATTTCTTATGAGGAAGAGAAAAAACGGATAGAGTAAATTTTTGTAAATGATTTCTAGGTTAAATGTGTATAAATTTGTAACTATCCTAATTTGATAATCCTTTGTTTTTTTTTTCTTCCAACTATTTTGATATATTTTTCACTTTCTTTATAAACACRTTTGAATGACCAAATTTCAAAAACAAAAAATACTTTTTTAAAAGTAGATAACATGACCATGGAGCTCATAGTAAAAATAGTGTTTCTAGACTTAATTTTTTTTATAAAAATAAAAAATAAAAATAAAATAGTTATCGGACGATAATTTAGAAATAAAACACTAGATTTACAGTACCTGTGATGAATCTTCGTGTGCAGGTGGTTCCATGATGTATGTATGATTAGATATGCTTCATTATTCTATACAGGGAAGAGTGGACCCATCAATGAATAATCGTAAATTGCAACAAAAAAGATAAATTAAGAATAAAATTTCCTAACAAAGTAGTATTTTTACGTTACAGTCACAGAAGTTAAAGCCTGACTTCTAATTCTAACACCTTATTTAAAGAACTGTACAACATCTTTCAGGACAGAAATTCAGAAAATTATGTTACAAAATTTAATAGTCATAAAATATGGACAGGGAGAGATTTGTACAGATAGTTATGCTGCTGGATGCAAGATCCTACGCCTGCACATCTGGACGGTTCTTAGTCGCTGCTCTGTTGTAAAGCTATTCAAAACACAGTGTGGAACCTGAAATCAAATTCTCTTCTTGAATGGCCTCTTCCATGAAAGCTACTGCAGAGGGCATGAGCCAATTTTACTTCAACTCTAGGATGGTTCTCCAAAAGCTTTTGCTAAGGACCATGCCCAGAATCTGCAAAAATTAAGCCAATTTGGAGCCTTTGGTTCTTGGTCTACATAATGGCCACACGAGATTGAAGTAAATTTTTGTTCATTTGGAGGAGATTCAGAGTCATATTTCAGCTGTCCATTAGGTATTTAGCCATGATCCAGGTCCTGGATTAACCTTCTGGGAGGTTAAAGTTTCTGCAGTCCCCAAGCTTAGCTTTGTATCAATCTTGTTAGATTTCTGGTGCAGTATTAAGAAAGGGTCTTTCTGACACGCTCGGATGGTGTATCGTCCATTCCGACCCCTCACAAACTTCTTCATCTGCTTGATGATGCTCTTGGCCCTTTTTCGATTTTCACCTATTTTCTGAGCTTTCTCATCTCCATTTCTAACTGCTTGCAATTCTCTACATGTGCTTTCATAAAGGATCTTGTAAAATTGAAGAGAGTTCCTGTAACTGCATTGATTTGAACACATAGAATCAGATCCTGCATGAATAAATGGGAGCCAGGGAGAGAATACTATAGATGTACTGATTTTCCTGAATTAATTTGACACTACAGTTCCAAATTCTATTATTTTGATTATGGACATAAAAACGGGATTATTTTGATTCGTTAGAAATTGGACAATTAAGGAAATTTCTCCTTGAGTTCCAAATTCCAATTGAAATGAAATCTTTAGGATAAGTCTAACCATTGCCTTAAAAGCATATTATTATGAATTTAAAATTTCAAAAACCCGAGTTCAAATCCTATTTTAATTTTGATTTAGAATTCCTAGGAACTCCATTGAATGGTCTTTCTTATCTTTCTGAAAAGTAAACTTACATAAGAACAACAAGGAAGTCAGTTCTTTATCTGCTTTTTCAAAGTTCGAAAGAATACAAAATAAACATGGACAAATCTTCTGAAGATGTGTGAATCATTGTATAAGGAGATTCAATAATGATAAATATCTACTACCTGCAGACCGTACAGTCATGTACAAGTAACAAAGAACAACAAAAAGTCAAGCTGTGCACCATTAACTAACCTTGTTCAAATGGACAGCGGGCAGGATCCTCACCAAAATATAGTGCAAGTGCATCAGCATTTCTACCCTGCCACCAAGCAATAAACAAAAACATGGCCTCCTTTATTTCTCAACAACTTCCAACTATATACCACAAYATAAATGATTCAGTCTAGTAAATTACCACCACCGAATAAAGAACTGTCACAGATTCCACCTCTGTCTCAGCAAGAGTAACAAATCCTTTCAACGTCTAAAAATACAAGATAGAAAAATTGTTCAAACCACTGAAATTATTCACAATGAATATGTTGTTTGTGTGTGCATCTGGGTGATGAGAGGGACAGAGAACCAAAAGAGTATTAGCACAATGCATGGCTATTTAAGTTTGACCTATAAAGTGGAATAATTTCCATCATTCAGAAGAGTTTTCTACACCATATAACTTCCATATAAAATGGTTCTATTTCACTCTTTTACACTGCATCCCAGGGAAGGGGGAGGAAAAAAGAATTTGCACCTTCCGAAAGGTTTCAGAGATGGGGCCATCATTTTCAGATGCGACTAGTTCCTGCCTCACCTTTTCCAATCCTTTTGTTATTGCTTGCATTTCTTCAGCCAAAGATTTCAATTGTATCTACATATGAATCAGGACAAGAATTCAAACAAATTTTTTACCATAATGATTGAATTTAATCCAAGAAGTATGGAGATTGGAGACCTTAGACGCAGCTTCCAAGCTACCAAGGTCCAGATGAAAATCAAGAAGTGATKGTGACTTCGAAGCAAGAACCTGAATCACATGCATAAACCAACTTTGAGATCAGCCACCTAACTTGAGAGAATACTGAGGTTAAAGACTAAGCAGTTCATTATTAAAGGATATATAATATAAGAAAATATTTTTAGCCTTTTAATTGTCCGAAAAAGTATAGTATAACCTCCTAATTCACGTACCAAACCTTATCAGTATAGAAGTAACTAGATTATTACTTAATTAAAAAGCAACAATTATTCTCCCATCAAATTAGAAAATTAAAATTTATCAGTAAGACAGATGAATAAAGACATTACCTTACAAAGRTAGTGCATAAGAGTCATCTTGTTGTTAGAAGCACGTGTATCAGTGAGTTTTGAAAGACTATCCAACCTGAAACCAATTGCAGAACCTGCACGGTATCGAGTCTGGGTAATAATGTTTTCAAAATCCATGGACTAAAACATTTGACCAACATGAAATTCTGGTAAGGAAAGTAGCAGCATTAAAAGCAGAGAATGAGGTAGGGATGCCAAGAACTGAACCCTGCATAAATAGAGTTCAACTTATGCCAATCAACATGAATATCATTTGAACCCATAAATTTTTTAATTTTTGTTTTATGAGAAACTGATTTTAACCCATAAATTATTAACAATAATATGATAGGATTTAGAAGCCTCCTGTTCACATAACATTTGTTTTTGGAAGAAAATGAGGGAATCAAATAAGTAAAAATGTGCATGCTCACCCATGGGTCGTTTTAGTAATAAGTAGAGAACACTTTTCTATTTTTGTTATTAAAAAAATGGGAAAAGGAGTGTAAAGAATATTGTGAAACGTCTGATGTAAGCCTAGTTGAAGCATGTCGGAAGTTGGAAGTCTCGGGAAGGAAAATAGAGGCAGCAGGCATCTAAAGACCTTCCATCAAAGAAATTCTTGTTATAAAAGGAAAATTAATCACATCACCATAATAAAAATTTTCAATTTCTTAAATTCTAAACTACTTTGGTATCAAGTCATTTGAGTATCATGATGTAGCCCAAAAATTCTGTCTTGCAACAAAGATCCGAGAAGTTTCTTACCCCTAGCAGTTCCTTGGTTCAGCATATTTCCCAGGCAAAGAATTCTCTTCAATATCTCCTTCAGTTTGAAAGAATTCTTAACCTGTTAAAAAACGGTAGTGTAAATAATGGGCTTAAATTTGACAAATATCAAATAAGTGAAGGAATGTATTCATTATCATTAGCAATAGACCTCTAGACAGACACAGTTTACAGTGTTTAGGCTTTTTCTGAACTCTACTATCTGCAAAGGAGGTCAAGAATAAGTATACTTACACTAAAGAAATTTCTGTATATTCCAAAATTAAAAAAAAAATGATGAAAATGAAGAGTTGCAGATACCACAAAACCTGAGAGCTGAACTGAATCTTGAAAGAAAACACTCTTAACTTCGACTCCACACGAGGAACTTGCATCATCTCCAAAAAGTACTGATGAGTGGAAAAATGAGAAAAGAGAAGTAAAGTATGTTAAGTTATAATTTTTTTTATAAGAGAAAAAAAAACAAGAACAATATGTTCGAAATGCCATTCGTGCCACATGCAACATAGAGTTTAAAAGAATTTATTTAATATAAAAATAGCAGAAAACTAAAAAATGACTTCTTAAATTGGATCTCAAAGTTGCTGGCAAATATAGAAGCCATTTTGGACAAGATACACAACAGAAACTTAGAATTAAAGTACAATCCCAGCCTTTTCCTAAGGTAGCAATTTTATCACTTTCTTTCCAACTTTCACTCAGATTTTTTTTTCTGCATTGAATTATGTATAATTAACCAAATTTTGACTTTAGTTGATAACTCTAACAGATGCATGTACTCTGAAAACAAACTGAGCATCAAGGAGGGGTAGGTGCTTTATTCCATCTGTGCACAATCGTGAGCTTACTCTAGGCTACAAGTATGAAGCTATAAAGTACTACACTGCATGAAATGCAATCTATGACCTGTTCAACAGAGTAACTTAAAATTACCTGTTCACACTTTCCAAGTTTGTCCTTGTCACCGCAGTACCCCTTAATAATTAAAGCACAAAGAAATCTTCAGTTAAATGATTATAAATAAAGAACAGCCTGTGCCATAACATGTAAATAAAAGGAAGAATCTAATAAATGGTAAAATGAAAAAGGATGATCCAATATTATAGCACTAGATATTTCACCTTTAGAAGCTCCATCTCCTCTCTGGTAGGGCAAAATTTAATGAGATTTTCCACTTGATCTACATCTAATACTGACTCGTCCATGGAGAGTACTGMTGCCTGTATTACATGATGAATTGACAATAGCAGTCAGAAAAGTATAATATATGCTCCATCATGTTAATCTATTAGCTCTGAAACAAGCTTTATTCACGCGAGAAATTTCAGTAATAAGTGGCAGCAAGAATGCATTATGGAACAAGCATGAAAATATCTGAAATCTACCACCAACGGCAGGATACTGTATTTTCAGACTCCAAGATATTAGCTACCATGGTGAAAAGATGAGCTGGGAATATAGGAACCCAATATAGCGTTCATATGGAATTAGAGCATCATAAATTCTTGATAATCAAGAAACTGCACAAAATGAAACTACATCGTGATTTCTAATGCACAACAACATTACCGGAAAATTAAGAATTAACCTCTTCACAAACCATAAGTAACAGACCAGGTGCAGAAATTCCAGCATTAGGATATGACGAATGCACATGTGAATGAAAGAAAACTTTTACCTCTGAGCACAATGAAAGGATAGACAACTTACTCTACGCATGGGGAAGGGGCAAAGTGAAAAGTTAGATGAAAACATTTCTTCCTAATATCACCATTTTAGTGGCTTAGTCTCTAATGTCTTAATCTGAACTCAAATTAATAAACAGTTAAGAAGTGATGTGAAGGCGAGTAATCAATAACAMAGATTTTGTAACACAGGTGGGAAAATTTAGTTTGTACCAAAGAAGAAAGATCTAATGAATCTTGAACTTTTCTTGGCTTACCATCATGTCAGAAAGTGGCATCCTAACTTTTGTTAGCATGATTTCAGTGTTATTTGCCCTCCTAAGATCAATCTGCCATTGAATATTCCATCAAACCATAAGTTGCACCAACAGTTGAGAAGAAATGATCACAGGGGAAAACTTATTTATTGAGGATAATATTGCAATATTGAAAAAGTTTTAAATTGAATTACCAAGTGAACTTTGTCCAATTTTGATCCAACTGACTTCCTTCTTCCTCCGGATTTACCTCCTGAATCAACAACAGGTTTCGGGACTATCACAGAAAAAAGTGTCTCCAGCTCAGATACATCAAATTCTGGTGCACTAAGAAGAATATAGAAACTAGGTCATTAAAATGGTACCGTATGCTAGTGTAAAGGAACATATTGCATCTAGGACAAACTACACCAGTTGAATGTGAAAATATCACAATCAAATGAAGAAGCAATGTAAATTCACAGGAGAACTTATCATACGTTTCAGGATCTCCACATCTTTGCAGTTCTTCCCATAAGCTCCCTTGTAGTGCCCGAGTCACCTTGCTCCAATGCAGAGGTTTCAATGGTGATCGTTGAGGCACTGAAGCAACCCCATTGCTAATTGATCGTGAGAACCCACGTCCCCTCAATATAGATGATGTTTTCACATCAGTTGAAGAATTTACTCCTTTGGCTCCCGTGTGTGGAGACATACCCCCTGGAGGTTTGGAAGAAGGAACTAGTGGAAGAGGACCAGTCGTAGATTGAGGGGGTGATGGTGCTTCACAAATTGGAGGTGGCTGGGATGATGGGACTACACAAGTTGTTGGAGATGGTAAAGCCTGCCGCCCCAGGGTTAGATGTGGAGGAGCCGCCCTTTGAGTTGGAGGGGGTGGGGGAGGGGGTGGAGGCAAAGCTCCAGCATTTGATAGGCGTGAAAAAGGCAAAGCTCCATGGGAAGGGGGTGGTAATAGTGTTTGAGCTCTATGTAGAGGAGGTGGAGGTGGTGCAGGTGGAGCACTATGCTTAGGTGTAGTATCACTCACCAGTGCAGAACTCTTAGGTGCCACACGAGTGGAAGGTGGAGGAGGTGGTGGTGGAGGGGGTGGAGGAGGAGATCTTGCATTGATATGTAAATATGAAGTAGGTATCATAGAAGACTTAGGAGATGATGCATGCAACAAAGAGATGTTAGCATGAAGAGCTGGTGGCTGTAGAAGTGTAGTTGGAGATTGAGAGAGAGTAGGGTCTTGATGCGGAACAACATTTGGTAATGGTCCTGGGGAGCCAAGTGGTGATTGTATCGTGAGAATCTCTGATGCAAGACATAAAGGTTTTATAGGACTCACCTTGTTACTTTTCGGTTCATCAACTGTATCAGCTGAAGGCAACTGTCCTGAAGTAGCACAAGCAGAAGCAGATTTTGATATTGAATATGAATAAGAATCCCTAGTAGGAGAACTGATAGATGATGCTGGGTTACCGCTATGCCTTGATGGTGGATAAAACACATGCATGGAGTTTATGTAAGATTCTTTGTCATGTGAAGTCCATCTAGAAAGAGTGTTTGGTTTTGCCTGTTTTACAAGAAATCCCAGATCTTCCGGCTGTTTGGTCTTCTGTTTAGCTAGAGTTGTCTGATTGATTAGCTTAACTGTTGATGGAGGCTGATTCCTAGATGCTATTGACAACGACTTCTCATATTTCAGCCTCCACGCATCAGGATTCAACTTTTTCACGGGAACCTTTGATTCAATGTCTGTAATAGCAGTTTCTTCTCCACACCCTTTATGCTTCATTTCTTCCAACTTGTCATAAGCATTGTCTATCAGTTCCTGGATTCCCATACGTCTCGGTAAATTAACAGAAAATAGCAGAGGATTTGGCTTTTTATCTCCATAATCCACAACAATGTCCTTCACTACGTGAAAACCAGAGTCCAGTTTTTCATCTGTCTTGAAAGTCGCATCATCAACAGTTATGTCCTTCACTGCTTCCACGTTAGAATCCACCTTCATGTCCAAGTTTTGACTCCCTCCATATGAGTTACAGCGTTGGAATGTAGGAGGACCTGCATCCTCCTTCCAAACTGCTCGATGGTCCATATCATCTGTTTCATTAGCATGTACCATTTGAATATCGTAGTCCCTCTTAACTTCCTGCACGTCAACAACATTGCTAAATATTTCTTCCACTTCAAAAAACTCCTCAGTTGAATTGCTTTCAATTTCGATTTTGTCCTCACTTTTCATGACTGTAGAGAGGTTTGGCACAGCATCATCAGCATCCAGGAAAAGCACCTGACACACGAGTTTCCTTCAAATTCGAAGGCTTCAAAAAATATATACATTAAAAGAAGAGAAACAACAGCCTACCTCTGCTCTAAAATCTTTAGGAAACTGCTCCTTAGCATCCCATATAACATCAACCTCATCACGATTGAGCTTCAAACTGTTTGAATGCACGAATGCCGTGTGAAACATAACTCTAAACATCACTTCCTCGTGTATTAGATCTCCAGCTAAATGGATGCACTCAAGAACAACATCCCCTTGAAGATGACAATGAACGTCCATTTTTACCAGTTTGCTTGCTGCCTGCAATGAAATTTCACGAGGATATTAAAAAATGTGCTAAAATCTTGTCATTGCAAATTCAGTAGCTTAGTTTTACCTGCAGGTAGTGGAAGCYACGTCCTTTCATCTTTGCACTTGAAAAGATAAGTTTTGGGTTTCTATTTCTTGGTGTTAACGGATCCTGACCATAAATGCGTACGACAGGCCTGCACCCTTTTCCTCCATCAAGCATAGGAAGGTCCCGGAGTATCAGACAGTCTAAAATTAGAKGTGTATCAGGTGGAGGCCAATCAAAACCTAGATTTCTCCTAGAAATATACTGAAGGTATCTCATTTGAGAAGGCTGTGAGTTTACTGGAGAAAGGACATGGAAGAGTTCTCTAGGAGCTTGCTTGTAGACCATTTCAAGGGTCTTTTGCTCCCCGTCATATTGTTTACGGTACAACAAGAGACCTGAAAGCATGAAAGCAAGGATTGGCCATCCTCCTCGTTCACAGTTCATCAACAACACATTTTTCTGTCTCTCCAAGGACAACCAGCTTTCACTCGACCGAATAAAGTGGTGGATCATTTCCAATGGCAGGAGTGGACACCCTTCATATTGCAGAGGATATTCCATCACCGTCATACCATATTGAGACAATATGTCTGAAGTTTTAGTCCTCCTCTTTCGTTCACTAAAGTTAAAAACCATGAAAGAAGCGTCAGGAAAGTGGTCTTGTAGCCTTGGTATAATGCCAGCCAAGTACACTTTGTACTCATCCTCTTCCAAGATGTCAGTAGAGAAGCAACAATCAAACACTGAAAAGGAAATATGAGGACTTTTAATTACAAAAAAAGAGAAAAGAAAAAAAAAAGAGGAACAACCAAGTGTCTTAGCATTAGAAATAAAAATAAGCGGCTTCTTATAAATAACAAAAAGTTCAGGACACTACGAGAAATTTTCAATATTTAAAAGAAACTTTAGGTGAACGGGACCAGGCTACAAAGAAACAGTTAACAACTCACAACTTGCTAATTGTAGATCTTGCCCCATGACCAGCCCAAGCAGTGAGGGACATTGAGATGAGAATCTCAAATAAAATGTAAAAGCAATGGGATAGAAAGATTATAGTCAATTTAAAATGACTTCCACAACAACATTGAACGAATACTAAGAAATTGAGAAGTTCTAAGTATGTCACACCACACCACCCAAACCAAAATTAAACCTGCACTTAAGTTAAGTAAAGGACGAAGCTCAATTTGACAAGCTTTAGGTTGCATTGTTAAACACGGCGTACTATGCAGTTGAGCTCATCAAAAACCGAAATACGCAAGCAGTAAGTAACAGAGAAAGCATTTTCAAGAAACTAAAAAGACAAGACAAGAGCAATAAAGACGAATTTTAAAAAGAAGCATACCATACACCCTCTCAGCGATCTCGAGCAGCCGATCTGGAGGCTTCCGGTAGAATAATTTCCTAAACAGCGCCATCAGATGGCGCTGTTTCTTCCCCGGTCAGGTCCAAATCTAAGTGACCGGAAAAACAGGGGAAAAACGCTAACCAAAACCTAACCTCAGAGCTACCAGTCACCGAAACAAAGCACCTCCACAGCCAGAGTTTCAAAACAGAGTCCAAAATGCACCAAATTACAAAGARAAAAACAAGCAAGAAACAGAGTATATTATCCTTATCTCAGAACAAGCTCGAATCAGATTGAAATACAGGTTGAGAGAAGCAGATGGTTCAAAGGCAAAGGAAGCAAGATTTAGAAGGAGAATGAACACTGGAGCATGAGAAAATCACAGCACAACAAGAATTTAGAGAATGTATAAACAGAGAATCGACTGAGCTGAAGCAACAGAGAATGAGAGAGAGAGAGAAAAGTTGTTTAGAGAAAGAAAAAATGTGAAGAAAACGAAATGACCAGAAAAATGGAAGAAAGTTTCAGAGCAGAGAGGGAGAGAGAGAGAGAGAGAGGAAGAGTAGTGGAACTGAAAAAAGGAGCGCAGAGGAAGACGAGCTTTATATGCTGTCTCCTCTCCTCCACTTGGCTTTCCTGCAACGTCAACTTTTATTTCCCAACGACGAAGAGAGAGAGAGAGAATCCATTTCGCCACGTGGCATACACGTTGCACCAATTTCGTTTCATTTAAAGACATTCTTTTAATCATTTATTTCACTAATCCGATGGCATTTTTGTTTTTCCAAATTATTGTATTTCTGTTTAAATAATTTTTTTTACCCACATTTTGAGAGTATAATTATTTATTTTAGATATTACTACCATTAAGTATTTAAGTTGATGAACAATATCCTATATTCTGTACTGAAAAAACAAAACAAAATCCTATATTCTTTTTGTCTAAATTAGTTCAATACAGTATTTCTTTTCTTTAGGAAAAAAAAAGGTACAGTATTTCTTTTTTCAAAATATACAAAATTGGCATGTTCTTAAATATTTAATTTATAGATTATCCAATGCATTCAGACATTTAAAATTTAGATATGATAATTTATTTCATTCTTTTACTGTAAAATTCATTTTTTTATTTTTCTATGGAGAATTCGTGTGTGTGTGTATATATATATATTTATCTTAATTCATAATATAATGCGTGCCGAAACGTAATATTATTTTATTAAAATTTTGATTAGTTATATTTTAAATTTAAAATTATAAGTCAATACGGAGACTTTTGAGTAGTTGAATAATTTGAGTTATGAAAAAAAAAATCAAGTTTTATCTTTTCTTTTTGTTAATTATAAAGTTTTAGTATTGTACTTGACTTTGCAAATAAAGGAAAATCATTGTATTTATTAAAGGGAACGTGCAAGGATCTTCCTTTTGGAAACATGGGACTGTCAAAAATCTGACTGAAAAACCATATTCTAAAAGCAATAATATAATTATTATTATTAAGTATTTAATAAGCTATGTTATTTATCCAAATCCAATTTAAAATATTAATATGATTTAAAAAAAATGTTTGGTGATCAAAATATGAGGATATTGAAGATCACGTTGGAGGAGAAAATGATTTCTACATCACGTGCAGTACACGTGATTCGCACTTCAAAGGATCAGTGGCCTGGGACAAGATTGGAATAATTCCAAAACCATTTCTTCAAAACATTAAGCTTCCATCACAATTTGATGGATTTTATTTTCATAAGTATTATATATTTTTTTAGTGGAAATTCCGAAATTAGATACGACTTAATTTAGATTCTTATTATAATATGGACAAATGTAGTTAATAATGTGATAACACATATGAAAATACTAAGTAAATTATATATTCTCATGCGATATTTAGAAGAGATCTCATTAACTAGTTAACACATCGGGTACAATTGGTTGTGTAGGAAGCTGTGACTAATTTGATAATAACTTATCTTCGACGAACCACGCGTTATGTCAATGCGCGTTGGCTGTCGCGAGATAGATTACGTCAAGTAGGACAAATAATTTGTTTACGTAGCTCACATCTAATGACTTATACAGTAATAGCAATACGGTGAAATTTAGAGTATAATAATAGATCATCGCGCCACGTGATTGTTCATGTAATTGGTGTGTCACCCACTAAAACTATATATGGTCTGGTATGAAAATTAGCAGTCAAGGGCATGAATTTTTTTCGATAAATATTGAAGCAATCTACCCTACTCAAGTCTTATATGAGCTAATTTAATACTAACTTATTAGAGAAATTTTAGCGTCTAGCTTCTATTTACAGGTATTTCAAAAATCTACCGTAACTACATCAAAGATCCAAAGTTGAGAAAACATTAAAACACTTATTATAATTCTGATTGGAATCATATTTTGAAAACATAATTCTTAAATGGAATGTAAAAGAAAGTTGAATTGACAGATATTGCTACAAAATTTATATAAAAAAAAAAAAGACTACTCTACTATTTAGATAATTTTTTAAGATTAGTTCTTCCCTATAAAAATTGTAAACATAATTATCATAATTATTTCTAAATACAATAAATGAAAAATACCCAATTAATTATCAAGCAAGTTCATTTCAACTTCCAACGATATTCAATATATAAACAATGGGTGGAAACCCACATAAACCTTTGAGATAGAAAATATAATATATAAACAATTTTGCAATAACAGATGGAAAGGACAATGACTACTTGAGCACAATCAATATTCTACCAAGAAACAACAACAATATGTGAACGAAGTGACATTATGAATTGGATTAATTGCCAAATGCATCACAAGGTTGACAAATATTTATATTGTTCACCGCAAATTTTATACAAATACAAAGAATCATTTCATGGGTCATTAGGAAGATTTTGTGTAGGTATTTATATAGATTCTATTACTAAGCATAATCCAAACAATGAACACCAAGAGGATATCAGTCAAAATTGTGGCCATATTTGCAAGGTTGAATTCACATTGGAAGATGTATAGAAGTTTCAAGCAGACCCATTAAAAAAAATCATAGGAAATCATGAAATGGCAGCAAAAAAAAGCATAGTGGAAATTCTTTGATTGTTAGAAGCAATAATGAAGGCCATAGGGAAAATAGGCATTAGTTGCAGTGAGTGAGGGTAGAGGATCCCACCTCCATAGATGAACATGATTGGTGCCAAAAAGAAATGAACAAAGAAGAAAAGAACAAATAAAGGTAGGATACCATTTGACATCACCTGCCTCCTAATTGTGTGTGCTTTCAATTGAATCATTTTGCAAAAATAAGGCATTTTCACTTCTGGGCTAAGCATGCCTTAACTCTATTTTTTTGTTTGTCAAGTTTGGCAAGTGATCATGATTTCAAGTCAGTGAGAGAGGAATTGGAAGCTTGTAATAAGGATGGATGCTAATTACCAAAGAAGATGAGGACAAAGGAAGAGGCAAATCCATGTGTGGCTTAAGCTTGGCTTTAACACACTGACCCATTTGCTTTCTTTTCTCTACATTATCATTTCAATTATGGAGCCCTATCTTTGACAATCTTAATCCCAAAGCCACTGTTCCACTCTGAATCTTCACATCCCTTTGCCCCCATTTACACCCAGCAGAAGTTATCTTGTTGGTTTAACTTTGTACATTATGAATGTCCTCTCCCTTTTGTCCTTGCCTTCCAAACAACATGTTTGTGAATTGATTTTCGATCTGATTTCGGTTCGACTTCTTTCCCGTGTGCATATTAGGTGTCTTAACTCCATATCTGTTTGAACGTTTCTACGAAAACGATTCATTAACATTGCAGAAGAGGACAGAACCAGGAATGTAGCATTTGGTGGTGATGCTTTCTGCCAACAATATAGCTGAATCAACCATGAATTTTGATTCTTTTTGTTTTCCTTCTCTCGTTTCTTTTTCTATTATCATCATTGTTATTATTATTTCCCTCCTTTTCTTTTGATTGAAGTAGCCAGGAAACGAATGCTTTTAAGAATGAAAACATCTTGAAAGTACACTGCCCTGTGTGGTTCAGTTATTTCGGGAATGAATTTATGTTGCTATGGTACGAGAAGCTTCTGCCATGTTTACGAATCAGGAACATTTACAATAATACTTTCTCATCAACTATAAGTACTAGTCTATACATTACAACATTGGATATGAAATAATCAAGGAACTAGATAGAAGAAAGAGAAAAAAAAAATGGCTGTTTGGAAGGAAATCGATCATCCAAACGCGTGTGCCTTCGTGCAGGCGTTCTGTCGTGTGTATTTCTGTTGTTGTGTTGAACAGCAATGTCTGAACTTCTTTGGTTTTGGATTTATTGCTGTGAAATTTTCAGCAATCAATGATTTATTGAGTGATTGTCATGTTGAACCAGGGGAGAACTCTTCTCTGGGTCCTTTCTAGTGCTCCAAATACCCACTCTTCTAAGTTTTTCCAACAGATTAGTTAATCAATTCTTAACTGCAAGTTACAAGCCCAAAATCCATGGGTGCGAGTCAGAATACAGATAATGATGAGAAGAATGTAAGAGTAAAAACATGGCGAGCGTATGCAGGACTGACAATCAAGCTCGCAGTGAAGGCGCTGCAAACTTTCTTTTTTTTATTTGTCTAACAGGAATTTCAACCTTGTCTTTGAATTCAAGTGGCAAGCATATAAAAAGAAACTGCTGGCATTGAGGTGAAATGTATAGTACAACATACAAATTTCAATGGAAAAAATATCTGTATAATCTGGCATTATAGTACCTCTTTGAAACCATGATCTTCGAACTGTCTGTCTGATGTGCCTCTCGTGTCGGTCTAAAAGTTCATCCACTCTGCAAGATTGAGATAACAAGGGCCCAGAATATTCAACTTTGTCCACTTGGTCCTGATAACTCTATCACAAGATCAAGTCAAGGAAGTTTAGGTGGTGGAACAACCGTGGTGAAATTTTAAAACAATGGCACACGTCAAAGGTGGCACTAGCGATCTATGAACTCACCATATTACTCCTCTTAGCGTCCATTTCATCTCGCAGATAAAGTGCCACCGCGAGCTCCTGTGAGTGGTACTCATCCGAAGCATCAAAGGAATCGGGACGCTCAAACTTGCTCCACTGATTCCGATTCCATGTCACAACCTTGGCTCTCTCATTTGATTCATGACCCTTGGAACTCGAGCGGCTGAATGACATGTCTCCATTCTCATGAAGTTTAGAGTCCAACTTGTTTCTTGAATGAAATGTAGCAGAATGGTCTAACCCATTCATTAGGTGTCCTCGTGAGATTGATCTGGTGTGAGATCTAATAGAGGCATCGTCTTTTCGTCGTCTTGCCCACGCAAAGCCACTTGATGTAGAAACTTGAAGGGGGCCAGAGAAGGGAATGTCTCCTTGAGATGCATTCTTTACATGTATAGTCTCTTCCAGCTTATCAATTGACAGCTTTTGTTCCTCACCACCTTTGATAACCTTTTCTTCTTTAAGATTTTGTGCGTTGATACTAATTTTGTGCAAATCTCGAGCTGATACTGATAAGTTCTGGGCAATGGTTTAAGCGGGCGAATTAGAACTTCCTTGGAGTATAATAGACACCAAGAACAGTAAAAAGCAGAGACAGAGAGAAAGAAGAGATACCTCTGCTGGTGCCAATTTACTGATTCCAAGATGCTTTCGTGTTGACCTTCTGTTATCTAGTCCACGGACTCTTCCACTACCTTTTTTCCTGCAAGTTTGAAATGATTTTGGTTATATATCATGAAGCGTAACACAAATAAAATAATAAAGCAGAAGCATCGATTAGATTTGGACCCAACTTTTCAAGTCTGGATACAAAGCCTTTACAAGATCCAGGGGAATGGGATATAATGCCCCATTGCAACACATATTTTTCTAGGGGATACGCATTGCTCATAACGCACGAGTTAAAATCAGTTTCACACACTCAGAATTTTCTTGCATTGATGGCGACAGAAAAAGTCCATTACACCCACCTCCTATCTAAAGAAAACTGTTCTGTATCATTGATTTTTTTTTCCAAAAGTTGCAGAATCTTTTATTATAGAAAGAAATGAGAAACCGACCTTCTCGCTTCCTCTCGTTGTTTTGCATCAATCTCTTTGCTAGGTGGATATATTGGCATGCTTGATGGATCGCAGGCATATGGTTTTGTACTGAAATACTGAAAGGAGCCATGAAGGATATAGTATAAGAAAATTCATTTAACAAACTGATTATTTGGTTCTATTAGCGTATTCTACCTACGTTGGATATCGACACAATGAATCATAATGCAAAATATTAAAGAACTTGGGATGTATAATCCACATCGACACTTTAACAGTGAGAATTGAAGTTTATGATGCAATACCCGTAAAAAACATGTGGCATCAGCAGAAGTATTTGATAGAGTTTACATTTTTCGTGCATGCAAGGCAAATCAGGTTAGTTTACTGCAACCATAGCAACTAGAGTTTTGTCAGACAGGATAAAGTAACCAGCATTGTTACCTCAGATGTGAGAGCGGTGGAGGCGACCCCACGCTTGTATGGTTCCACAGAAAGAAGAGTTTCCAACAGGTTCACAGTCATCGAAGGAAACTCTTTGAAGGTTTGCCGTAGAGAATTACTATAAGGATGTTGTGGTTTGAACAAAGTGGCATGAGGAAGCTTAGACTTTTTCCAGTATTCATCTGGAGGAGAGCCGCAAAGCTTGAAGATCTTGTGTAGCTGTTCAACCTAATGGTGGGCAGAGGAAAGTATCAATAAAAGATTGAAAATGTAAAGTCAAGGTCACCTTTGAAAAATATAACATATTTGGTAAAACTGCATGACTCATTAAGAAAGACTTTCATTTCAGTTCATGATTATCACAATTAACACTTAATTCAATAGTATTGAATCGTTCAAGATAAAACAAGCCTCGATCAATAACACAAACATTAACCCAGGGAAGGTTTTAGCTGAAGAATCCGTGTTTAATAGTTCAATGAAAAAAACATTACCTCTGTTCTTCCTTGAAGGATAGGCTTCCCAACTAGGAGTTCTGCAAAAACACAGCCAACACTCCAAAGATCCACAGAGGCACCATAGTCTGTTGAGCCCAGTAGAAGCTCAGGAGGACGATACCATAGAGTGACAACCCGGCTGGTTAGAGGTTGCCGGTGCCCGGAATTACAGAAGTTTGCCAATCCAAAATCAGCCACCTTCAATACCCCTTCATTATTGACTAGAAGATTAGATCCTTTAATATCCCGATGCATTACACCACGTGAGTGACAATGCTCAAGCCCGGATAACAATTGTTTCATGTAGCATTTAATCTACAGAAAAGGTAAAGAGCAACGGATTCGTTACAGTACTCATCATTGTTGGTAAGAAAAAGAAATTTCATTTCGACTTCATATTCTGCAAAAGAATACTTCCCAACTTAATGTTTTGGTTGAGGAAATACCTTTAGGAATTCAGAACCTTCATTTTAAGTATTGAAAGATATAATCTATTTATTTAACAGGCAAGCTTTGTAACTATATATAACAGAAACTTAAACTCAGAGCGAAACTGCGATGAATCATACCTGTGATTCACTAAAAGTAATGTCGGGGCAGGACAAGAGTCCAGTAATGTCGTGGTCCATGTACTCAAACACAAGGTAAATGCTACATGATAAGCGAGACGTGATTAAGCCCTCCAACTTGATGATGTTGGGGTGATCAAGCCTGCGGAGAATCATTATCTCTCGTGCCATGAATCTAACACTTTCAGGCTCAAAATTGTCGAACCGGACCTTCTTTAAAGCGACTATCCTCCCCGTTTCAAGTTCACGTGCTCGGAATACACTGCTATACGTACCTTGTCCAATCTATTAAAATTCAACATCCATAAAAGAAAGAATTTAGTCCAGACCAACATCAACTTTTTAGAAACACAGCAACTTCAACTGCCCCCATATGAAAAATAGAGATGTCAACAGTAAAGGAACAATGAAGTTGAAGAAGTTGAAGAAAAGAAAGAAAACGACAAACATGCTTTTTCATAAAGCAGAAATTACCAAACACACAGAACTTTTTAATAGATAGATTTCAAGGCATCTGGTTTGCAGGTCATGAACATTCAATGGATGATCCTCTGTTTCTTAAAGACAGAAACATGAAGGGAAGAGAAAAGGGGATCATCAAACCCTAAGTTTAGAAACCTTCCATGGCAACAAAAAGAACCCAAAACTTTTCAAAATTCCAGTCTCAAAGGATAGTTAACAGAACTCTTCCGGCGACAGATGAAATACCCAGATTACCATTTTAAAAACTGCATGCAAACTTCATCATGCTCCCCCAGTAGCAAGTTGATAAAACTTTTCAAAAAAAAAAAAGAAAGAATTTAAAAGAAAGATGATCTAGAAGATATTGCACTGAGTTGATTGGACAAAGCGAATTACAGATGAAGAGAATTAATTATGTCCGTGACCCTCGCCCTAAAAGAAAGTATAATTATCCAAATCAGTTATAAATTTACTGAGCTGTGGAAAATGATGATTCAAATAAAGCTTAGATTAGATATGATTGATAAAATTAAAACAGAGATTAGAGGGAGTGGAGCAGGAACTGAACTAATAACCTTCTCCAACTTTTCATAGGCATCGGACCGGAGTGGAACCCAACCTTGAATGGCTTCACCGGCGACGGCGCTGAGCCAGGCCGGCCACCCGGCCGCCACTTGCTCACTTTCGACATACTTGTGCAAATTCCCCAATCTGAAGCTCAAAGTTTCATTCCCTCCTCCATTTGAACTCGCTCTCCCCGACTCACCCAACTTGCTCCCAACCCCACAGAACTCGCTCGAACCCTTGGTCTTCGTCTTGGCCTTGGGCTTCGCACTCTTCTCAACCTCCCCCAATCCGATTCGGCTCCGACCCGAGTTCCCCAGACCCGAAGATTCATTGTCCCGAAACGCGCCGGAGTGATCGAATGCAGGCGTCACGGACACCGTCTGCTTGGAGTTCACACACCCCATGGCGGATCACTGCAGCTCCACAACCATGAATGGAAACTGGGGATTTTAGGAAGAGAGAAATCAGATGGGTTAGCGGGAAATGAAGATTCGTTTGAAACCCAATTTGAGTTGGAGAAAAAGAATAAGACTTTTATACCAGGTTCCCAAGAGAGAAATTATAATGTGGGATTCTGTTAATTTGGCTGGGAAAGGAATTCATCTCTGTGTGTCACTGTGTTTCCCTCCATTGTGCGGCGATTGCGGAAGATGATGGATAGAAAGAAGAACCATTAAACGCGGCTCCACAGCTGAACACAGCGAAATCAACGGAAAGTTAAATACCCACTGCACTAACAGCAGCACTTAACCATGGAAACTTTGCCCGACAACGCCAATATCTTACATATTTTTCCTCTCACTGTACCAACTGTAAATTTCTTTTCCACCCTTTGTTTACTTCAATTATTTCACCCAATAAATAAAAGGAAATTTTAAAAATGGCAAAAACATAGAATAAAATTAGATAAATATTCTTTTAAAAAAATCAATTTTAAAATGACAACTTTACAATATAACTCACTAATATATCGATAATATATTTGACTACTATTGATATATGTATAAGATACGTATATGATATACGATTGATATGAATATCTAATATATTAATAATATGTATATGATATATACATGAATGTTAAGATATAAGATTAACCCAAGTGAAAAGTCCCATATTTTGAAATAAATAAAAAAAATTGCAATTTCTAAAAAAAAAAGCAACTCATTCTCCATAAATTAATATTTATAAATCATATATATGAACGAAAGGAAAAGGGGTATGAAATGGAAAGTGGCAGAGTTTTGGGCAGTTTCTGTTTATTCTCTGCTTTTGTTCCCATATTGCATCGGTCTCCAGATTTTTTTAATTGGACTCGCAATTTCCATCACTCTCTCTCTCTCGCCTCGAGTCGTCGCGTGTCCGTGACCGGCAAATTGAAACCGGGCCCACATTATTCCACCCAATCATAGAGCGCGTGGTTGACGTTACAATGGTAGAGAGCGCGTGGGAGTGGATTTTGGTTTGGGTAGTTGTTGACTAAATGCGTCTTCTTTTCTTTAGAAAATGTATTTTGAATTTTTTTTTTTCCACCTCTGATTTTCCATTTATTACTCCCCGAAGATTCGTTGTTTGTCTCCCTGTGATTTTAAAATACGCGTTAAATTATTACTTTCGTTTTAGATTTAGTGTCAAATTTTTATTTTTATAATTTTATAATTTTTAATTTGCCCATGTAATTGGATCAAAATGTCACCCATGTTGGTTACGTACGTACGCGCGCGTGTGTATATATATATTAAATATAATAGGTGAGAATGAATATTTGAATCCACGATCTTTTAATAAAAAATAGATGTTTAATTAGTTGATTTTATATTTTATTTGACTAGCTACAATTAACTAGTAGGCACTCAATTTAAACTCTGGAGGCTACATTAAAATTAAGGTTAAAATACTAAATTGATAATTTAAATTAAGCTATAACCAATTTTCTCTTAATATGTTTTAAAATTAAATAATTTATAATGAAGCTTACTTTATTAAAAGATTAGTGAAAATTTATAAAGTCGGCACTTGTGTGGGTAGTTGATACTTATTTTGCGTGTATATGTATTCTTTAAAATTGTAATTAATTTGTCAAATGTATAGCAATTATCAAAACTATCGAGAATCTCTCGAAATTCTTTTCATGTTTTTTTAGACTAAAACTATAACATGTGTCACAAATTAAGATAATTTGATTAGATAAATCATAATTAGTCATTCATAATATATAATTGACGTCATCTATGTGTCAATTTTACCAACATGAATTTAGTTTAGCACTCAAATATCTTACTATTTTTCGAAGGTTAAAACCTCATCCCCACATTTTGTTTGTATTCAAAAAGAATATATAGGTCAATTTTAATGTTTCTGACCAAAAATTTAATTGAATGATGTTAAAAGAGTGATATTATTAGTTTTTTTTAGTACAACAACACGTAAGATTAGAATAAGATATCATAAATCAATCCAAATCAGTAGTGAGTTAAAAGATGAATTTTTTATTTTTATTTTTATTGAAAACATTCCCGATCTTTTTTTTTTCTTTTTTGAGAAATCCACATAAAAACATTCCCGATCTTGAACCCACGCCCCTAGATTGTTTTAGATTATATAACAATAGTTTTTAAAATTAGTAAAATATGTAATATACATATAGTGTTTTTTTGGAACTGATTGCAAATAGTAAAAAATAATCACCTATTTTTAGAGACATAAAACATATACTTTTCTTTAATAAGATAAGTACTGGATTAACTTTTTATTTATGAAATAATCAGAATTATTTGCAGCGTCCCCCAATTTTCATCTTCATTAAAGATCGTTGGCTTTGCAATAATCCTATAATATGTCCATAAATGGGTATTTAGATTCTCTACAAGCATTTAAAAAAAAAAAGATTCTCTACAAACAAAATAATTTTTTTATACTCATTTTTTTAAAAAAAAATAAAGAATTACCATAGAGATGAAAGCATCGGTACTACCTACTCTTTTTATTCACATTTAATCTATATATTTTTTTCAAAGGATTCATATTTAATATATTATCAATTAAATAATGCCATTGAGTTTTGGGAAAATAAGAATTTCTTTATCAAAGGAAAAATGGAAGAATAGAGCATAGAGAGTGGGAGGGGGCAGAACAGAACTCAGAAGTGAGGAGAAGAATAAAAAACAATCAATTAACTAAAAGAAGAAAGCAAAAAGTAAGGGGAAAAGGAGGAAAAAATAAAGAAAAGAAAAAAGAGAAAAGCAAATATAATTATAATATAACTTTTTTTTTTTTTTAGTCAGTAATGTATATAGCTTTGCCAGCTTTCACACTATTCTGACATTTTCCTTTCTTCATTGCTGACGTGGGCCCTACACCATTGACTTTATTGGGCCCCACCCTACCATGCATGCCTTCCCCTTCGTCATTCAAATTGATTATTGATTTATTTCTCAATTTGGGTGTTGCTTTTATTTCCATATTCTTTCTATGATGGAAATATCTATTCCCCAAATCTGCTTCCAATTGTTAAAATAATTAATTTTCATCATTTTTTAGTACATAATTCACTCTTTTTTTCCCTTTTAGTACAATCACTAATTCAATCTCGATTTCGATATTTGGAAAAGTCTTGGTTTATTTAATATTTACTTTTCTATCGTTTATTGCAGGATAAATTTTATTAATACAATATGTGGGGGTGGGAGATCGAACTCACAACCTCCATGTCAATTATCACTCCGCTATACTCGCTTTTATCATTATGATGAAATTTAGGATTTAGATTTTAAAATTATTTGTGGTAGATGTGATTTTTTCTTTTTTTGAAAGGAAAGAAAATGATAGAAAAAGATGACACCAAAGACAGGGAATTGGATTTAGTCAGCAGACCATGTATAATGTAATGCATTTTCTTCACTCTCCCTCAAATTAAACATAAAATAAAGCAATTACTTATTTTTTCATTTTGTAACGTAATAAACAAAAAAAAATATATTATAAGGCATAAATATATTTTTAAATATAATATATAGGAAAACCGCATAATTATTTTCATTAAAAAAAAAGGTTGGAAATCAAATTTCAGATGTTATTACCTAAAAATAAGTTTTTTTTGGCGGTCAACTTTTGAAATTCAAATATTCCTAGTATTCCAAATTTAATTAAAGGAAGCTTCTTTGAAATTTAAAAGAGGACAGTGTTACGGTAGAGAGAAGTCAAGTTCAAAGTTATGCCATATATTTAGTCGAAATTGTCCCAAATATTTTGTTCGGTTTATTAGAAAATAATATATTGAATAGTATTTCTCAAAATAAAACAAAATATTATGACTCTTTCATAGGCATTTTGTTTTTAATTTTCTATTTTTGAAAATTGAGCTTACAACTATTACTTCTTCTAGTGTATTCTTTTATCATGTTATTATTTTTAGAAAATATTTTCAAAATATAGGTCAATTTTTAAAAATATAAAAAAGTAGTTTTTCAAAAAACTTGTTTTTATTCTAAAAATTTAGTTAAGAATTCAAATGTGTGGGCTACAATATTTAAAATAAATTTCTATATTTAACTAGTAAGCTTCGTTATTAACGAGTTATTTATCTTACAAAATATGTTTTCAAAAACTCAAAACATAGTCAAATTCCAAAATTAAGATAGAATATTTGTTTGATAATAATCTTTTGTTTCATTTTTATTATAAAAGTTATATTGATTTACTCATAATTTTCTCATCCAAATTTGTACCTTTTTAAAAATACCTTAAAAAGATCTTGGTCGAATTTTTAAAAGTGATCTTTTACTCCTTATTGTTTGTTTGGGAAGCCTATTGAAGTGCTTAGGGAGGATGAAAATATATAATTTTTAAACAATGGATGGTGTTTAGCAATTTCTTAAATTTTCAATAATAACAAATAGTTTGAAAATTCTAAAAATTGATAAAAGCATTATTTATAGTGTTTTTTGATGAAGTATTTAATTATAGCTTTCTTCCCATACTACTTATAAAATAAAAGTTTCATTAATTTTTGTTTGTTTCAAAATAAAAGAGGAGGAAAATTGAAATTGAAAAATTATGACTTTATAAATCAAAAACTAAAAACAAAATCACCATCAATTTTATCACAAAATCTGTTTTTTTTTTAATTTAAATTATGACGAAGATTTTGAAATTTTAAAATGAAAAGAAATAAATTATATTTGCAAACAACTTTACTTTTTTTTTTTTGGTATAAACAAAGATTAAAAAATAAAATATTTATTAAATAGAAATTAAATTAACACAATTTTGTTATGGTTGTTACAACCACAATCACAAGGGGCACCAACCCTAGATTAATTATTTCACATGGCAATGGGCTAAGTTGACCTTGAGTCAAATAAAAAGCTTTGACTTTCTTAAAATATGAGAATTTTCCCAAACAAACCCCACTTGCAATTAAACATTATTTGCTATGAAAGAAAAATATATTTAGTTCTTACCGTGATTGAGATCATATTAGGATTTTGTTAAACTTTCGACTCAAGTAAGAGAGAGAAAGGTAGATTCTTTTTTCGTTTTTAAAAAAATTGTCAAATTTTTATTGATGATAAACTTGAAGATGAGTACTATTTAACACTTTATAAGTATTATTTGTTATATCAGAAATTAACTTTATTTCCCCCACTCGATTACTAAATTCATGCATGCAATTTAGCCCATAATGTTCATCAATTTGCTTTGCTCTTCTTTTMATTTACATGCATTCATCAAATCTTCATATAGTTGACTTTCC